TATGAAATACACGCACAGTCTCAGAAATTTAGGATTCCCTAAATTTACCTCAAATCCAGGTAAATTTATTCAGCTGAGAGTATAAATTAGTACCTAGGATTTGCATGAACTCAGGCTGGAACATTATAATTTTTTCTGGGAAGAGGGGGGGTGGGGGGGAGAAGAGGGGAAGAAATCACTCTAGTGGTGATAGGCCACCAATACCTTGCCCATAATTCCCACTGAAGATCAGAAAGTTCTCCCAAACTTGCAGGGAAAGAACCCTAGAGCAGTGGTTCTCAACCTTTTTTTGTACCAGGACCCATTTGTAAACATCTATGGCCAGTCCCCACCCACTGCCCCTCACTCCTGACCTGCTGCCCCCCACCCCCAGGCCCCCAATATGTGGGGCAGAGGGTGGGTATGCAGGGCAGGGGAGAGCATGGGGTGCCCCCAAGCAGCCCCTTGCAGGCTGGGTTTCCCATGTTTTTCTCCTTTAAAAAATAATCCATTTTTAAAGTTTGTTGATCCATTTTTAAAAGTTTATTAGCGACCTTTCATATATTCTTGCAACCTACTTTTGGGTTGTGACCCACAGGTTCAGAAACACTTCCCTACAGTGTTTCAACAGGTAGAACCCCAGACAAACAGGCTAGGTGTAGAAACAGTAAAGGGTTTAAAAATGGGAGTATATTGTGGGAAAGTCTGTACTTGAGCTAGACTAATGCAGGTGCTGAATATTTGAATGAATGGCAGAGTGAGACGCATCCTACATAGTAACCACCAGCAGCATCAGGAGGCTCAGCTGCATAACTTCAATACTGAACCCTTTTGCTATTCAGAGTTCCAGACTATTTTACATGGTTAGAACAAGATTGTGAGTAAACAGATGAGGAATGAGTGAAAACACAGGATGAAATGAGAAATTAAGGTGAAAAAATGTGCAAGGTGGTTTTGTTTATAAAAACGAAATAGGTATGTTATTATACTACATAACTATTTTGAGGAATATTGGAAACATATTTCCAAGTCAAGAGGCTGTATTCTATACTGTGGGGCAATTTTTCCAATTTGTTCTGCTCTTCCCAGGTAGTGCAAAGTTAGCAGAAACTACTTCCAAATCCTACTGCAGTTTCTTCCATGGGGGGTATTCCTTCATGGGAGTAAGATTGACATTGGTAAATTGTCTCCCTTCCCACAATCCAGGCACAGAGAGATGCTAGGAGGACTAGAACATGCTGTCCCTCCAGCTCTCCTTGTCATACAGTCTCTATGGGACTGGTGTCACCAGGTACGTTACAGAAGCCCCCAGGACTGGTCCATGCTATGCCTGAGCTGAGGCAAGTGAAGACTGGCTCCTGGTACTTAACTGCTAAGTGATGGGGCTAGTTCAAACATTGCAATTTAAGACCTGCTGGACACCTCAGGTGGCAATAAAAATACAGACAGTTTTAACACAGTTGTCCTGGAAGGCCACAGACAGCCCCCAGGTTACCGACTGGACACCCTCTCATTTACATTTTATGCTCTGAAAGACAAGGAGTGGCTTGTGTAGCCCACTATAAAGAACTGTAAAACCAAACAACTGGAATTGTACATTCTGTATATTGAATGATTCACATTCAACAATAAATACTATATTAAGCTAAAAACAGTTCTCTAGACAAAGGAATAAAAAGATGCACGTGCAGAAGAGCACATGTAATAGTGTAGTTGCAACCTTACATTTTTTTTTTCCTAGTCACATGCAACAGTGATGGAAAAGGGGGGGGGGGGGGAGTGGTTGTACTTTTCTTTTTGTCTTCCAACTCAAAAATAATGGTTTATACAGTTTATTAGCCTTAACTGCCTTGTTCTCGCACCCTAGACATTTACTCCAGGGCTTTGGGGTTGGTGGTCCTTATAAGCTCTTTACAGCTATTTGAATCAACCATCACACTTGAGCTGCTGCACTTCTATGCATAATGTATTTAAATAAGCACCTATTATCTACAAGTGGCCCAATGAATGTTTAATGTAGAATTTATTTTATTTATTTTTTTTATAATCAGCATTATTATGTAAACCACAACATTTTCAAACCAAGCAAGAGGTGAAGCCTTAAGTGTCTGTAACTTGGAACAAACATTTGAGGTGTAGCCAGGCAGCCTTTCCAAACATGTTAACCACACTAACTTATCTGGCAGTCAACTTAAGGTATCAAAGACTAACTACTTCACAGCTTTTCTAGATAAGGTAAACCCCAGCTGCATGGGGGATGGAAGGGTTCTGGTGAAATGAGGTGAAAATTACTTGCATCTTTTCTCTAGCATCAGAGAAAGACAAGTTTGGGGGGTTTTGTTGAGGGTTTTGGGGTTTGTTTTGCCATTTGATATAAAACCCACACCTTTTTCCAAAAAAGATGCATCATATTTTAAGATAAGCTGACTGGGCATCCTTTTTTCCCCTTAAAGCCTTAGATGGATGCACTAGAACAGAGGTGCTCACCTGCTGGCCTCTGGGCCATATCCAGCCCCTAGAACAGGGGTGGGCAAACTACGACCTGCTCGCTGATGAATTCTGTCCAGCCCGCAGCATGTCCCTTGGTCCTGCCTAGCCCAGGCACAGGGGGCAGCCCAGGCTGTGGCATGTGTGGCCAGTCCTGCCACCCCCAGGCATGCAGAAGGGCTGGAGTGACACAGCAGCCAGGCTCCCATATCCTGTAGTGGCAGCTTCTTCCAGCTGCCACTGCTGGCCCCAGCCCCACTGCCCATGCACCCTGGCCCATCCACCCTGCACTCACCGCTAGGGGCAGGACCTGCATGGGACAGGGCACTCAGCCAGGTGGTTGGGAGCAGCATCTGAGAGCCAAATGGGTGGGTGGGCAGGGGGGCAGGGCAACAGGTGCAGGTTCCACAGGCAGGGGCATGCAGGAAGTGGATCACGGCTCAGCCCCCCTGCTGTCACAGCCCCGAGATCCTGGGCCCAGCCCGCCCACCCCCCTCCTGGACGCAGCTCCCTGCCTGCTTGGGGCCCCCAACCCATCCACCTGGCCGAGTGCCCTGCCCATGTGGCTCTCAACCAGTTTCCATGGAGACCCTGGGATCATGGGGTGGTGACAGTGTGAGGCTGGGGCAGAGTCCCGATTTTGCACAGGGACGTGCAGGGAGTGGATCATGGCTCTGCCCTGGCCCCACACTGTCACTGCTCCATGATCCCATGGCCTCTCCAAGAAGACTGGCCAGGAGCTGCAAGACCAAGCAGACAGAATGAGGCCCCAGGAAGGTAGGGAGCTGTGTCCAGGTCTGGGATCTTGAGGGGGTGACTGGGCAGGGTGGGGGTTAGGGCAGAGCTGTGATCTGCTCCTAACACATCCCTGCCTGTGGAACTGGTGCCCGTTGCAGGGGCGTACAGGCAGCGGATCATGACTCTGCCCCAAGCTCCGGGCTCCAGCCCTGCACTGTCACCATCCCCTGACCCTATGCTGTTCCCAAACACCATTCCCCCCCACCCACCCAGGGCCCCATCCCACATAGGGAGTTTTGGTTAGCTGTTTCACAGGGGAAGAGGTGGGGAGGGTGGTGACCTGGCCTGCAACAGCTCAGAAAAACTCTGTGGCCTACACTCCCAAATAATTGCTCACCCCTGCCCTAAAGCCATGTTATCTATCCACCCTGTCAGGTTCCCCACAGGTCAAAAAATTTGGCAGTGGGGGAGCGCTGGAAGTTAACTGCCATTTTCCTGTTGTCAAATTCCCAGACCCTGGGGGGGAACCCCACAGCCAAACAGCATGACCCTGCCTACTAGATTGAGCATGCTGGGCCAAACTGGGATGACGTGAGGAGGTGCAAGGCCAACTGCAGCAGGCTGGAGTGGTGCAGGGCTGAGCCAGGTGGTATAGAATAGCACAGAGTCAAACAAGGCAAGGAAGAAGTGGCGTGGGCCCAATCCTGACATGGGGCTCAATC